TAGTAAAACTGCTTATAGGAAAAGAACTTTTCCTTGGCATTTAAGCTTTCACAGAGAAATATATGCAGTGTTTGCCTATCTTGAGGCAGTTTCTGGGCTGAAGATTCAAATCTCTTGAGCAGGAGTAAATTTCCTCAGGAAAGCCAAGCCTTTGCTCATTAGCCCAACCTGCCTAAGGTTTTCCTACAGTCTTTTTCATGTGGCAGGTATCTGTATTTGCTGTTACTTAAACTGAGCTTGAAATTAATTGATACGGACTAAAGTTTCACATAGACTTTTGGAAATAAATTAGCCAAGTGTTGCAGAAAAATACAATTAAGTTCCCCATGCTATAGAGGCCTCCCTTGAAAAAGTTGAATTTTTATTCCTTTCCAAAGGGAGAAGAGCTTTAATTTGTAAAAATTTCCAAAGCATTTCCATGTCCTTATGTGAAAGATGCTACAGGAACACAAAATGTGATTGTTTCTCTGTAGTGAAACTGGAAGTGTTAATGTTCCAGTGTTTCACAGGATATCACAATACAGAGATTTTGTGTTGTGAATTTGTATTCACTATACCTTTTTTCTTTTTTTTTCTGAACATGCTTATTTGCAGTGCTATTTGTCTTTTTCTCTTTCCCTTTTTTTTTTTTTTTTTTGTAAACAACAGTACTCAATGACAAATACCAGCAGAAAGAAGCACAGACTGAGGAAATGATTCAGAGTTCTCAGTGGCAGTGGGAAGAGGAACAGCAAAGATTTGCAGTGGATAGAGATAACATCCTCAGAGAATACCTTGCTAGAATGGAATTCCTTATTAAAGAAAAAGCTGAAAGAGAAAGGACTTGTAAGGTATGGTGTATTAATAGATGGAAAGTTCCATTAGATGCTGGCTGAAAGTTTTTTGGTGCAAAGTGTGGGGTAGGTTGGGGTTTTTCTGGTTTAAGGGGAAAAAAACCCCAAATAGCTAAATACTGCAGAATAGTTCTGAAGATTACAGAAGTAATGAAGTTACAGAATTCTGAAGTTACACTTGGTGTGTAGTGCTGGTTTGGGGCTTTGATGGAAGGTGTTGTGCCTGTTTGTCATGGGAAACACCTAACCCAAGTTATCAGTACACAGTGGGAGTGAAAACAGAGGAGCTTGTGGACAGGACCTAAGGTCCTTCTCAAAACAAGCAGAAACACAAGTCACTTTTCATTCAAAGCTGATCCTTACACAGGTAGGGCAGGATATAGGCTGTGAACAAGCCTGCTTTTAGATAGAGCTTCTTTTTTTAAGTTGCTAGGTGCAGCAGGGTCAGCTCTGAGTTCTGCCTAACAGTGAGTGGCTGAGTTAGTTTGAGGAGGCTCTGGAAGGGTATTGCCTTCTGTTGTGCACAGTGTTTTGTAGAAGCTACCTTCAGAGAGTTTAATGCTGCATCAAAAGATCAAAGTTAAAAAAGTATGCCATGCTCTGTCAAGTGATGTTCGTCCTTGAAAAAGGACAAAAGAAGCAGCAAATGGCTCAGGACATTGTATTCTCTGTCAGTTCCCTGGCAGTGTTCTCTGCCAGTGGTTGTAGGGGCTTTGTTGGTTAATGTATTCAAGCAACAAAATTGAAATGTAATTAACATGAGTAGACTAAGATTGACATGAATATATGTAGCTCGTGAAACAGGTCAGTGTGAGCTGTAGGGTTTCAGAATCTTGACGTTGCTGAATTCAGAAGTCTTTCAGAACTTTCAAAACTCTCTGAAAGGAAAATGTGATTCACTGCTAGGTGCCAAACCCTAACCTGCCTTCAGTAGTAAAAATGTTCAATTTTTCTCCTTTGCTTTTGTAACTGTTCCCCTGCCCACCACCCTAGAGTCATGTTATGTATAATTATAAAATTCTGGGAAATAAAAAAAATTTACATCTGGACTTGACTGCATTAATTGTTGCTTGAAAGCTTAGTTCACTAAAACTTGTCAGATAAACATCAGAAATATCTGGGTTTATAAATGATGAGTTTGAATGCGTTGCAGTCTTTTGTGTTGTGTATTTACAGGCCTGGTTTAAATCTCCTTTAGTTATTCTGAGTTATAAAATGAAAGCTAAGGAGATTTAATTGTGGTCTTAATATGTGCAGAAAAGTGGGATTCTGAGCATATAGGCAAATCCTGGCTGGAAAAACTGCACTTCACAAACTGTAATTCTGAAATTGGCTGTGAAAATGCTGAGGTAGGCATGGGAGTGCAGTGATAGAATATTTGAAATGTGTGTCTGGAACACGCCGGAAAAGTAGTCCTCTGCTTTGTGATCGTGATGAGCTCTGTTGGGCACATCCTGGCCCGGGATAGGAAGGGTTGGCTTCAATAGGAAGGGCAATAGCATCACCTCGTGGTTAGGGAGGAGATCATATCCCTGCACGTTTTTTTCCTTCGAATACTTGGGAGATTGTGTCGTTTACACACGGTAGAAAACCAACCAAACAAAACAAAACAAAATCCAGCCATGTCTTTCATGAGCAAATATTTGCAGGTGGCTACGGGGATAGTATTAAACAGTCATACCACCTCCAAAAAGTTCAGAAATTCTTCAAAACTCTGAAATCTTGCAGCTCATACTGACTTGTTTAACAAGCTTCATATATGCATGACAATTTTAGTTTGCTGATGTTAATTACATTTCCAGTACAAAATGTTTTTAAATTTTTTGTAGTATTTTACAGCAAACTATGTATTAATTATTTAATATTTCCCAGTTCACTTTTGTTAATATCTGGAAGATAAACTTGAAGAAATAAATATTTCTATATCTTTCCAGGTATATATATCCGTAGAAATTGTTAATTTTGGATTATTGATTGACTTATTTATTTATTTTTCATTCTAAAGGGAAGAAACCTGTCTTGCTGGACATGCAAAGCTAGAGGATTAGCTTAAATTTGGTCCAAATTCATATGGACTATGGGGATTTTGTAGCAGTGACTTCACAGAGCTGCAGAGTCCAGTCATGTCAGTAATTCTCCCAACCTGTAGCTTAGTTCAGTTTCTGTATGCATCTTATTTTATTCTACTGAGGGCTTCATATTTCTTAAGTTTTTAAAGTAATTCAGTTTCTACAAAGAAGAAAATCCTTTTCAGAATAGCGGAAAATTAAATTATTTGGTTATGGTGGTTTGACAGGAAATGTGTTTTTTGGGATGCGGTGTTTTGGGCCAATGGATATTCAGGCTTTAATATTGGCATTTAACCTGGCCATTTAGGACATGGACACGCCTCTGAGAACACAGGTTTAAAAGCAGAGCTCTCCCCTGGGCAGGTCCTTTTTGGGTTTCTGGCGGGAAAGAGTTTGGGTCTCTCCCCCGGCCCAGCTGCTGGCTGGGCAGGGGAAGGGGAAAAGCCATGTGGCCGGGAGAGGTAGGCCTGACCCCAGGGGTGGAAGGGTGGAAGAGAGAAAGAGAGAGACCGGGGGCCATCGGGTGCCCCCCCTGAGAGACACACAGAGAGAGAGAGAGAGAGAGAGAGAGAGAGAGAGAGATAGGGAGAGAGAGAGAGCGAGCGCCACTGCCTGGGACTGTAACCTTGAAACTGGATAAACATGGGCCTGTGCCGGCAGCACGGCTGAGAAGGAGAAGAAGGGGGGGTTCAGCCGGCCGCTTGTAGGAGCTTTTAACCCCTTTTTGGAGAATGAGAACTTTACAGATCATTGACTTTTCCTAGAAGATAGAGTGGAAGATGAGGCAGGAAATGTGCAAGTGTGAGAGAGGTCTGGGCGAGTGAGAGATAGTGGAAGAATAGAGAAGAATCCTAGTGGGAAGAGATGATGGAGTGGCTTTTGCTGGACTCTTTTTGTATAGCCATGGACAGACCCATGTTCCTTGTGACACAGAGACTGCTTTCTAGGGGGAGGCAATGGCCACAGAACCAAGAGGGTTCAGTGTTGGTGCCCCTCGGCCCCAGGGGGTGAAAAATATGGGGGGGACAGGTGTCCCAAAGGAGAGATTGTGGGGACAGGTGTCCCAAAGGAGAGACTGTGCCTTTTTTGGATTGGGACAGAGCATCCTTAAAAGACAGCCCTAGAAGCAGCTCTGGTCCGTGTTCAGTGGTGAGAGCACTGGACATGAAAAGGAAGAGGTCACGACGGCAGATGTACTCCGGGCAGTGCCATGAGTGACACGGAAACACACGAGGCTTCAGCTGTGTTTCCAGGGGAAGCCCATGGTACAAGAAGGACTCCTCTCCTCTTGATGAACTCAGGATTGATTGTTTGAAGGGTAGTGCTGGACCGAGAGTTGGTGATTTGAGGAATAAATGTATTGTGTTGGAAATTTGGTGGGGGGAGGAGGAAATGCATTTGTGAGGTTTTCATTTTCCCTGTGTGTGTGTTCCTTTTTATTTGTAGTTGTAGAGTAGTTAATAAAGTTCTGTTTTCTTTTCTTTCCTAAGTAGGAGCCTGCTTTGCTTATTCCTGGTCACATCTCACAGCAGCTACCAGGGAGAGGGTATCTTCATGGGGGCACTAGCATTGTGCCAGTGTCAAACCATGACATTGGTCTATGGGAGTAATTGTCTCTCAAAACATCTGAAGTTTTAGCAATTAAAATCATGACAAAAATGAACTTTTGTCCCCATGTCCCCATCCCCATCATTTTCCCAAATGCACCATGTTTCTAACATTGCCACTGAGCTGGGACACAGAAGAGATTGGAAAAGCTGCACTCTTTCAGGGAAAGATTTCCTGTGGAGATCTGGATCTGATTTTAGTGTTACCACAGAAGGTCATGTTCACAGTGATTTTTGGGCCAACAGAGATTTCTTGGTGGTCAATTAAAAGCATGCCTGCATTGGGTAAACACTTCTGTTGACACGTGCTGGCATCTGAGATTTTAAAATTCTAACATCCTCATCTGATGTGGTCTCTCCTCCTCTATTGAACTCTCTACTGCAATACTTTATCTTAGAAAACCTCTTGATGTATTTATTTATTCATGTACCTATTTATCTTTGGGAGACAAACGCTGCCCTGAACAGCATTGCCAGGAAAGTTGAAGGATATGGGGGCAGAGCACGATGGCTGCAGCAAGATCCTGAGGCTTCAGGCCAAGCGTCTGGATTTCAAGAATACACAACAGGAGTATCTCGTCAAAGAACTGGAGGTAAAGCTTTCTCCCTGCTGCTGGGAGCCTCAGCAAGCATTGGCAAAACTGAGCAGTTTCATTTCTGAGGGGTGAAACCTCTGAGTTAGGCTATGAGTGCCCTGTGTTTGATTAACAAAATGCAGAGCATCACTTGGCAGGAAAGGTGGATTCACAGGTGAATGCTGCGAGCCTGACCTGAGAGTGGTGTTTGAACTGCAGATGGAAAGGGGTTTATGTCACTGGGAAAGTACTCTTAGCAATATAGAGGTATAAAGGGAGTATTTGTGCAGGATTTTTGAATTTTATAAAAAATTATTGAAGCATCTTAAGCAGATAGGTTTTGTGGGAGGAGGCAAAGCTTAAGCCTTTTGGCTGATGCTGTTGAAAGAGTAGGTTTGGTAAGGTCTGTGCCGTGACTTTCTCTTTAATAGGCCTTCCACAGATCTCTGTTTCTCAATTATTTCCTTTTGTGAATATGTGAGATTATACAGAGTTTAAATTTATTGCCATCAGCTTGTATTTAAATTTATTTATTTATTTATTTATTTGTTTATGTATTTATTTGTTTATGTATTTATTTTTCAGTTAACGTTTCCCTAACTGAAGTGCTTAGAGTCAGCTTCAGTCTCACATACTTGCTACTTTGCTTTACCTGTCCAAAATGAATGACTTGACTTGTATCTGTGTAACTTCAGGTGTCTTAAATGACTTTTAATATTAATTTCTTTTTCTTGATCTTTGTTGCATCACTTGAAGGCAGGAGTCCTTTTGGAGTGTATTGTCCTTTTCAAATCAGTCATCAGTCTAAGTGAAAATATTTTTTTGATAGGAAACAGTGTAGTTAAAATTGCATGTGAATTTCTATTATAGCAGCTCTGTAGTTACTGCTATTGCTAGAAGCATTTTTTCAATTGAAATTCCATGTCCAGGCCTTTACATGGACATAAGTATCTGTGAGTATAAAAAATGCAGCAAGAACATAATCCTACATCAATTTCTTTAACGAAACAAAAACTTTTATTTTAATATTCTAGATATGTAATTGTTTTCTTTTACTTATTTATTGATATGAGTTTTCACAGTTCCAAAGTGCAAGTAGTTCAGATGCCACAGATTGGTTTATGGAGACCCAATAAACTGAAGAAATTAAGTTGTCTTTGCATGATGTTATCATCTTTCTGGACTTTTCAAAATGTACTTTTAGGCAGAGACAGTGAAAATAAAGAAACTGGAAGAAGATGCTGCAGCAGCAAGATTAGCACATATACAATGTAAATCCGCTACAGAAATCATGCAAGTAAACTTTTAGTTAAATATGTGGTAGAAGTTTACAATGAAACAGAAGATGAAAGAAGATGTACCTTGTAAAGGTACAATCTTTGAAAAATGCCAAGACTTCCTTGCTCCAGTGAAAACACTGAGTAGATTTTCTGCAATGAGTGTCAAAATTGTAAAAGGTAATAGAAAAATATCTCCTTTTCTCAGGGGACTATCAAGTTAATAGAATCAATATTAAAATAAAATGTCACATTCTTATGTTTGAGAATTCAAAGTAGCATTGAAACAGTGAGGGGAAAGGAAATGTTTCACAATAGTTAAACTGTTAAAATGTTCTGTCCTGTATCTTTGGAATGGGTACTTAGATAATTTTGGAGATACAGTGCATACATCCAACTTCTCTAGGTGTGAGATATTAATGCATCCTGAGACTGCAGTTTCAAATTTCAGCTGAGTACATTTTGGCTTCAAAGCTATTATATCTGCAGTTACCAGAGAAGTTTGAATACATGAAAAAATGTAATATGTATACTTGAATATCAAATTCTTGTGTTATTAAACTGTATCACACAGGGTTTGATCCATTAAAGCAATTAGGGTTTATTTTAAAAAACAAGTATGAAAAACCTGTAAGATAATTGCTCAGTGATCTCATACTGACTAACAAAGCCTTCCTATTGGACTTTTGAAAAACCAGACGAGAAAACAAGAAGGAATATACACTTTTTTTTTCTTGTTTTCTGAGTAACACCAATAAGCATTGACACTTTCTCAGTTATTTTCTTATGAACTTCTCTAAGTACAGTCCCTTAGATTTCTGAAGTGATGATTAAATAAGTAGAGATAATTCAGTTTTCTTGATTCCTTCTCACTTCTACAACATACAAAGGAACTGGAGGGTAGCATTCCTTGAAGTTAGAGATTTATCTTTTATAGGTGAAGAACTGGTAAGGTTTCCTTCCTTGTTTATGTACATGAACAAGCTCCACATGCGCTTTGCTCAGAGTGCAAGTGTAGCTTTTACTGTTAATCCCACCTTTTTACGAATCTACTTAAAAAAATAGAATTCCCCTGGAAAACTTTAGTAATACAAATAATTGAAAACAGGAAAATCCAAGCTCCATGAAAGGACAACAGAATGTGCTTTTGGTCAACCTATCTATTTCTCTCTGTTTTGAACTTTATGTATTAATACATGGTCTCTCTGAAGACAGATGTTGTGTTAATTAAAATATGAAGAATTCTGTTTGTTATATGTAAGTTTGAGGTCATATCCAAATAATCTTATGAATTGCATTTCACGAGGCTTGGTAGCTGAAAATATAACCTCTTGAAAAATCTTTCTTAGAAGAAATATAAATTTCTTCATTCAATTAAGAAAGGCAAGCAGTTTCAGAATCCATGTGATGTGCTAAAGTAGTATCTGCCAAATACATTGATTATCCTTTAAAAGAACACAGTGCATTTGCCAAAAGTAATTTTGGGTAAAGTATCTTTGTGTGGAAATTTTCTAGTTTACAAAGACAGCATTTATCCTCCAGTGTGCAATGGAAAGACCAGGTTGAAGAATCCCCTTGGACATTAGTGACTCCTCCTGGCAGCTTCAGCCTGCATGAAGGCTCAATAGTAAGGAAAAAGTGTGGCACGCATCGTTTAGTTTAGGTGTTTTTTAAAACATACTGTCAAAATATTTACTGTGCTGAAGATTTGCTGCATTTGCTGTGTTGAGCTGTGGAAGAACTCTGCTATGCTCTTACCCTTTTTGTTATTATGCTACCTTTAAAAAAATTTAATACATGAATAAATGTAAGTAATGCCTTGGAGAAGCTAATTTGAAAATGTTTTTTTTAAGTATGGGTAAGATGTACTGGCATTCCTAATTAAGGCATTTTGTAGATATTGATGATCATTTCATGTGAAGAATGTTCTTTCTACCTAACTTTTTTGTCAAGTTTCATTAGCTATCATTGTAGAAATGTTTATTTCTATTTCATACACCCTTTTAGTTTTCGTGCAAGTATTTGACTGTAAAAATTGCTTGAAAATTCTTTCAGGCTTTCAGATGGAAAAGCAGAGGGGATATTTTGTTGCTGTTTTGTTTTTTGCATGTTTTGCTGTGGATTTGGCACATTGGATGTATTTCGCTGGATTATTTTCTGAAAACTTTCTCCTCTTATATGATCACTTTGGGCTTTTCTACTCTCTTTACCCAGCTACACCTTGAATAACAATTTTCCCATCTTTTTGCATAGCAGCATGGACAAAGGAAAGTTCTTAGCATGTTTAGAAAATCTCTCCTTTCATTGTGTGGTTACATTTGCTCTCTTTCTACTCTTAGCAATATAAAACTTTTTTGCTGGTGGCTTGGAAACGTCTCCTCTTTCTCTGTCAGAGCTCTGAGCATGGAAGGTGCATGAGGTCTGTTCCCTGTGGACAGGAGCAGAGACCTGCATCAGAGAGTCTTCAGATTTGTGGGTGTCTTTTGTTCACTTGATGGAGTTATTCCACACTTTGTCTTAGTGCTGTCCACTGCCCAGGCAGATCTGTCATTCATAAACTGGAGGCAAATAAAATCAGGATCTTCTTTTTTCTTTCTGGGAGAATAACAGCTTCTTCCATGCAAGCATTAATGTATTAAAAGACATTTGCTGGCCTACTTAGCCTAAAAAAGTCATTTCATCAGGCACAAAAGGAATACATACAGAGAAAAGCAACTGTCTGCCCTAACTACAGGCATTAATGATTGCTATTTCTAACTACAAAACACAATTGCAAGCTGAAAATATTCTACTGAAGTGCTTGCTTCCAAACCTGAAGTGCTTGCTAGCTGTTGCTGTGGTAGGAGTTTTCCTTTTTATTTGTATTCCTTAGTAAAATATATGACATGACAAGAACTATGGACAAGATTCCATTCATGATCAAGATTTCTGGTAATGGAAACAGTACTTAATGGTAGACTCAAAATTAATGTTATGTTACTGAAAGGTTAAAAAAAAAGATTGTCTCACTGTCATATTCATAGAGCTGGTTATTTTAATTGTTTTACTCAAAGGATTTCAAACCACAAGACTGTCCTGAGCAGGTGATAAAATATTCATTTTTGGAAGAGTTGTATTAGTGGTTGCCTTATGAGATCAGGTATTTATTGCCTTGGATGGCTTTGCATTTTTCCCAAAGCTGTTTGTATTTGTTTGGGAAGCAGAAGTGCCTGTATGTGATCCTGTTTACTCCATTGAGACAGCTCTGATTTTGCTGCCCAAAATGAAAAAGCAGAAGACTGTAGCAGAACCTAAGTATAGATAACATTTAATATATTGCTGTTGGTCTTTGCTATACCCATACTTAAATTGGCTAAAAATGTCAGTGTGTTCTCTTCCCTTCATTTTCCCTTCCTGCTTTCCTGATCTGTACAGTATTTTTTCATATTTTATACCATTTCTATGCTCCCTATGTTCTTTCCACTCTAGTCTGATAATCTTATCTTGATCTCTGACTGTACTGATACAGTCTTCATGGCATTTGAGGAACATTAAGATAACATTTCTGTTATCTTAATCAAAGTTTCTAAGGCACTTGTATGTACTAAAAGTATGAAGAATTGAATTTCTACTGCATGCTGTTGTTGCTAAAATTTATTTATAATCTGAATCAATTTCATATACCACTGATTAAAATCACTGTAAATAAATGAGGCGTGCCTTGTGGAGTTTGACTGATGGAGCTGTAGGCCCATTTTGGCCAGCTGTTTAATCATATCTAATCCATGCAAAACAAGTTTTTAAAGGAATTTAGAGTGTGTTGTGCTGCCAACTTGCCAACTGCCTTGCCAGACAGTTTTCTGTGTGCTGTGCAAGTGTTGGGGCACAATTTGGAGGCACCTCAAGGTATTAACATGGGTGAATGAATTGCATCCACTAAGAGCATGGAAATTTTTATCTGTGCCAGGTCATGGTTGTGGCCCCCACAGGACTGGGATTTACTCACATACTTTATTTACATACTGTGTCTAATTAGATAAATTTTGGGAAATCTCTTTTCTTACTCTGCTGTAATATTATGCACTATTATGGCTGCAATTATTAGAAATGAACTGAGGAATTTTGTGAAGCTGTGAGAAGGAGCCTTGAGGGCTCATTTTCAGCTGCAGGCAGCTCTGCTACCACACATAGGATGCATCTCTTTTGATTTGAACATTGCCCAGCTACAGCAATTAATTTTTTTCTTTGTGTTCCAGAGGGAGATGTCCATCCTCCTGAACTTATACCAGACTCTGGCAAATGCCCAGGTGCTTTCCAGACAGACAAAGGTCCCCCTGGAAGAGTTACCTTGGACAGAGCTTTGTGCACTCTTGCATGAGAATATTGAAGCCCTGGTCTCGAACTTCAGCAAGGCTAACCAGAGGGTGAGTGTCCCCAGGCATCAGCTGCCTCTGCTGAGCTCAGTGACATTTGTTCACACTGCAGTCTCGTTAAAAACGACTGATATTCATCCCCCCCAAAAGGATCTGGACACTGTGGGATCTCAGCACATCGTTCCCGATGTCCAGAGATGCCAGGAGAACCCTTGGGGGTCTCGAAAATCCTGGAATGTTGCCAAGAGTGTTTGGTGGCTTGATTTTGACCCATCCACAGAAGTAACAAGAGTTTGAGGACAAGAGAATCACTTTAGAGTAAAAGGTGTAAAAGAGACACATTTAGAGGGTGAGATATAGACTTTAAGGTTTTTGGTACAGGGGGGTTGTGGAGACAAGATGGAGGGATCAGGGCGTGTCTCGTCCTTCTTCTTTCTTCTTCTTGTCCTCCATCTCCTGTGATGATGTTGGCACTTGGGGATTGGTTTCTGGTGAAGGTGCACTTGCTAACATGGGCGAAAAGCATTGGGAAATAAAGGTAAATATTGTGTACGTAGATTTTAGTATAAAAAGGCATGACCGCCCCGTGGGTGGTCAGAGAGTGCCTGTGACTGCCTGCAGATCAGACCTCTGTTGGGCAGACAGAAAATTTTGTAGATAAGAAATAATAAACAACCTGAAGACCGAAAAGCTGAAGAGTCCAGACTCGTCCTTTGCATCGCGTGCCACCCAAGAACCACTCTACCCGTGTCGGGGCAGAGACAGACAGCCGGACCCGACAGACACTAACAAATAAACACCGTTTATTTTGGCTTTTCCACTGCTCAGTTTGATGCTGTTGCTGTGGGCCTTTAGATGTGACTGGAGTGTGCATCAAGTCTCTCAGCTCCACCTTCTGTGCAGGATATTCTGAAAGGAATATCTGATACTAGCCACAGGGACCTAATTAAAAGATAATAAATTCATCTTACTGATGAAGAATTCACAGAATGTAGTCATTTACAGTCATAAAGCAAGTCTTTATTTTACCATAATCCATAGGCAAAATAGGCTTTCTCCAGGAATACCATTTTTAAATTATGTGTTTATGGTTCAGATCTACTGTTTGAAAGAATGACAGTGTGGGTTTTTTTGTTTAATTGTAACTTTTGGATTATGACATTTTTTGAAATACCTATTATAAAACATGTCAGCATTTGTGTGAAGGAGGAGCTGTACTTTTCTGCATGATAATAACACAAGTGAGCTTACATGACCTCTCCTCCCAGAAAACCTTGTGTTTTTAGGAAAAAAAAGCCACTTTTTAGGTAAGTCAGCTGGCTCCAGAGACTAAGCTAAGAGTGGCTAAGCCACTCTTTAGGGTTTCACTTTGTTTTCTGGTTTATTTCTCTTTTGAAGTAGAAGAGGAAAGGGAAGGAAAGAGAAGGGAAGGGGTGAATATTGTTGGCAGTGTTTGTGGGGCTTGTATCTTTTTGTGCCTGCTTTTTAATTAAGCATTTTTATTGAGACTGATCATGAGGTCTGTAGGGCTCTTCTCATGTACTTAGCATCTGTTCTGGGATTTTAGACTGTGTTGGTTTTTTTCTACAGTTCAGTTTTCCTACAGTTCAGTGTGATCTATCTGGAAGTGTCTTGCTAATATTTTCTAGCAACAAAGTGCAAGTGTGTGCATTTGGAGATCATTGTTGGCTCGGTTCATTCCTCCATTTAGTTTGCATGGGATGTGTGGTGTTAAACCACAAGAGTGAATCCTTTCATGCTTGTTGAAAACACATCATAAACTTAGGAGCTATTTATAAAGAAAACATTCTCTATGTTAGAACTCCCTGAAATTGTTTTAAAACTTAATAATAATCTGGAATGTCTTGGCTTTTCAAAAAAAAAACAACCCAAAAAAGCCAAACCAAAACCAAAAAAACCCCCACCAAAACCCAAAAAAACCCAAACAAAATGAAAAATTAAATGCCGTTTTTAATTATTGTTTGCAACCATCACAAACTTCTAAAGGATATACTTGGATTACTGATTTACTAAAACTTGCTAAATTTACTAATTTACTGAAATTTAATACAATTTTTTAAAAAAAGTGTTTTAAGTGTCTGGTTCAGGTTTCCTACAAAGAAGGTGACAAATATCTGCAAGGTGGTATAAGGATGGCAAAACCAAAACCAAATAAATACTTGTTTCAAAATATGTTTCAGTTTTGTTTTGAGAACCAAGTAATTAATCTGCTATGATAGGGTTTTACATAGTTTTAATGAAAATATTAAAGAAATCACAGTTTAGATTTTATGCTGAAATGGTCTGTGCTTAACTTAAAGTGGAAAGGTAAATAATAATTTCTTCTTTAATTCTTGTCACACAGATATCTCACCTAGAACATACTTGCAAGCAAAAGACTGACACTATGAACAACCTTCTGCAGAACCAGGAGGATGCTTTTGAGAAAATGTCTGAACACTTTAAAGCACAGGAACATTTATGGCAGAAAGAAAAGAAATATCTTGAAGAGCAGTACTCAAATTGCCTTGCAGAAATTCAAGCCAGAGCACAGGTATGGTGCTGTGAACTTCTAATTTTTTTTTCTTGTAACATTTAATGGATTATTTCAGTAGTTTAAGCCCCTTAGCAGTTTAAGGTCATTTGGGAATTAAACTGTATTTTTCAACTAAAAAAAACCCACAAACAACAAACCAGCCCATTGCTGGATAATATTAACATCACTTAAAATAAGAAATAACTTACTTTGTTGAAGCGTTTATTGAAGAGAATTTGGTCTACAGCCCCAGCTGAGAAGCCTGATTTTGTCTACAGATGGTAGGTTTTTTTTTTCTGAAAATGTTGAAGCTGTAAGATCAAATTTCCTTTTTTTAAGAATTACTGAGGGCAGCTGATACTTTTTCAGCATCATCATTTGCAGAGATTGTATGGAGTAACAATAATGTGGTGTTACCTGTGGATCAATTCAATTACTTATGTACTGACCCTACGAACAGTGGTAGATTTCAACATCATTAAGCGTCTCTGCTTTACTGATGCTACAGTGAGAAGTGGTTTTAAAATGTAAAACTGTCACTGCTTGTTAGATGAGTTATTTGCAATCCAAAATGTTATTCCACAAAAATTATTTACTGTCTTTGCCATCACATTCCTTCACACCTGTTTCAATTAAAAGCATTGTGAATAAAGGAAACAGATGTCCCTTTTTATTTGTGAGTTACTGCAACTTACTTCACAGAATAATGCTGTATTTGATGCAGATTTCAGGACTGGAAGTCTGCATGGTGAAAACTTGAATTTGTCTGGTTTCATATTCCAATCTTCCTTACATTTTTCCTTTCACTTACACTGGGGTTTTCTTCTTGGTACAGCAGTGTTCTCTCTGAAATTGGAGGATGTTATTACTATTGTTAAGTAAACCCCTAAAACTGTACTGTGGGCAGTCAAGTGGTGTTGGACCTTCTGTGAGCTGTCATGGTGTTGGTGAATTGTTGTCAGAAATCAGGAGTCCATTTGCAATTGATTATCATGGAAATTTCCCTCCTACCATTGCTTTGGTTTCATATATCTGATTCTGTAATTGTTTACTAGAAGAGATACTTTTATCACGGTCATTACTAACAATTTTTATTCCTTTAATGAATCATTTGAATGGCAAAACTAAGAATTTTCTTTTTGCTCTTGTCTAGGTAAAAACCATCTTAAAATAGTTAATATTTCTTCCATTTATATTAAAATAGTTAATATTTCTTCCATTTTTGTTTGGTTTGTTTCTGTTGCAGGAATGTGAAGAAAGGGAGCAGAAAAACAGGCAAAAACTGTGTGGCCTTGAACAAATGTGTGCACAACTGACCCAGGAAAACAATTCCTTGAAAAATTCATTATTAGATGCTTTCAAGGCATGCTCATCCCTGCTGGCAGCCTGTGCGCTGCTGTCAGGGGCCCTGTGCTCTCTCTAGGGCCGACTGTGCGCCACGTCTTGCCAAAGAGACATTCTCCAGGAACAGGTGAACCAGCACCAACTCCTGAACCACAAGATCGTCAGCCTCCTTTATGCTCTCCCTGCTGTCATGGAAAGAAACCAGGACGACGGCAGGCTGAGGCAGAGAAGAGCCAAGAACCTGGTTTATGCGTTCCGAAGGGCTGTGATCGCAGTTCTGGCTGCTAACAGGCTGAGGGCTCTGGCCCGATATTCTTGTACCTTTTTCGTCTGGACAGATGGATGCAGAGGAAGCTCTGGAATTCAAGTTTGTCTGGGAGAATCCAGAGGCAGACATCCTGTGACACGTAAGTGAAATGTTCTTAAAATGTTATGTCAAATTACATGCTTAGGGAATAACAAAGAGCAATATTATTATTATTGCTAGGGCATAAAGACATATTTAATGACATTCTGACAAATATTATTTATGGATTTATGTTTTTTGTGTTTCTTCATGAGAGTATTTCACTCTAAGAGCAAATGCCTACTCTTATGTTAAGCATTGCAAGTACAATTGCAATTATGCACATGAACTCAACAGTATCTGATATCCTTGATATTTGTGTTACGGATTTCAGAACTAGGCACTGCAGCATCTTCTCTGTGGTAAATATCTTGCAATGTTCCTAAATGATTAACTGTCACCTTTTTTTTTTTTGGAAGAAGTATTTCCTCTTCTTTTTCTAATAATTTTTAATACCTATTTCCTACTAAAATTTCTAGAATTTTCCACAAAACTTGCTTTCTGATTCAGGTAAAATATTAGCATAGGATTTTGAAATTTTCATTTGAGATTATGTCTACTTGCCCCTTTCTGTTGCCAGACCAGTTTATATTTCCCTCTAAAAGGATATATAGTATCAAAAATGTTTTGCAAATTAGAAGATTCATCTACTTTTTTTTTTTTTTGAGTCATTCTGGAAGCATGCTTAAAACAGTCTAAATTGTTCTGTCTAATTTGTTGTTTATATGCTTATTTTTGATTAATTTCTGAAAGAGCTGGAGATAGCAGTGTGCCATATCTTAGTGATTTACTTATCCTGCTAGCTGCAATTCTGTTTCACAGGTTTTGGAGAGGAAGGAGTTGACTGGATTGAAGCACTTCACTGGTTGTCTAGCTCTAACCTCTATACTGCAATAATCAGCTCCATCTCAGAACTGGAGGGTGTTCTCAGCAAACAAGGTAATTTTAACTGTATATTGTTGTAGCCAAAATATATTTAAAAATAAATAAGTCAGGGTGGTGTGGTAGGTAAGGGACAGGCGTTCGGAAGATTTCAGGCTGTGACGGAAAATTACAGGACTCCTTCTGCCCCTCTCCCCAGAGATAAGGATCACCCTTGGAATGTAGCCAGACGTGTAGCCCCCCTAACCTATGGATGCCAGTAACTTTCCACTCCATACTAACCCTAGAAAGTATAGCCAAACCCCTTTCTGATGTAGAGAAACCCCTTAGTCCATAAATACCCTTGAGACCCCTCAATAAACGCCTTTAACCGTCCACCACATTGGTGTCAGCGTCCGTTATTGGCCACAAGGGATCCCAGGAGGGGATCGCCGTGCTGGACTTCGAAACCAGGTCGCCGCTGCCTTCCCAAGAAGGCAACAGGGTGGTTATATAATTTCCATTTTTATGATTTTATCCAAACTATTCTGGATCACAGCTCTGAAGAGATATTTCTGATATTTATGATAGACATCTTTGACTAGAGGTTATATCCTGAGCTAGTCAATACAAATTTTAGTTTAGTGGGACTGTTTCCCTGAAGGAGTAATTTCATTGCAGGATAAAATAATAACTCTTTTCTACATTCTCTGAATGATCACATTTCTGTACTGTTGGAACAGATTCATTTTCTTAAGCAGCTGATAGGATATTTTATCCTTTCAGTATATAGAGTCATGGAAGCTGAAGGCTGGAGAGTGTTTCTGGAATTTATGTACAGTGAGAACTGATACACGTTCCCTTGGTTCATCTGCATTTCTGCCATCCCTGGTTCTTTATTAACCTCTACTTTTAGAATCCCCACATTTTTGTCCCAGAAGAAAGGATATTAGAAGAGGGATAATTTATGTGAATAAAGGGAAATAGCAGGACAAAGACAAGGTGATGCATTTTCCAAAAGGCTAAACCCTAAATTTGTATAAAAGTTGCCATTGAATCAAATGGGTTTGGATTCACTTTCAGGCACTTTCTTCTTTGATCATGCTGTTGTCAAGAAATTGAATTCATATCCTTTAAAAGCAAAGTTGGAACAGTGGTTCAGATTCAGCATTCTGTGTTTCAGAATATTTACAGCTTCCATCCTGTAGAAGTGAAAAAGAACGTGATCTTACAAGAAACGGGAACTAATAACCTGCTCGATGTTTCCTTTGTGTTGTTTTTTTCTTCAAGATTCAGAGCTCTGGCTTTCTAGTAACTCGCTGATCGGCACAGCCAGGAACTGCTTTGCACAACTGATGGACAACCTGAGCGTTCTGATGGAGACAGTTCAAGGGAACGCTCGTGGGTGCAGAGCCTACCTGGAGAGGGACTCGCTGATAGAGAGGCTGGCTTGTGGCCTCCAGAGAGTAAATGCTAGGCCCTGGAAGCTGGATTCCATGACAGACTGCCCAGCACAGTAAGCAGATTGACAGTCCTCCTCCATGGAAACAGAAGGTTTACAGCAACGGTGAAGCTCCCTTGATAGCAGCATTTCTTTGGTTTCAGGCTGGTGATGAGTCCAGGACAGTCAAGTGCTACTATATGGACACTCCAGAAGTTGATTTGTCACACATTAGGATGTGAATAACTCTTTTCTTTATTGACAGAGAATTTTTGGAGGAGGTTTAGTGTATCCAAGTAAAAGATTTTTTTTTCAAGTTCTATCAGATCTGTATTAGCTTATAAGAACAAATTTGCTTTTGGCTTGATGTAAGTGTTAAGGTTGCTTTTTATTATTGTTTTCTATTTTCTCATGTTTACCACCCTTTCTTTCAGTAAAGATAACCTTCTTCCCTTTAACCAAAATGAAAAGACAAACACTTTCTCTCATAATATTTTATAGTAGACTTTAGGTGAAAATAGTAGTTCTTTGAAAACAGAATTTGCAGTAACCCTTGGTAGGTGACAGGTTCAGACTTTTGTGTATGTCTTTTAGAGATAGAAGAAAAAAAATATAGTTTTGTCTTCACTTTCTTTGGTCTTAAATATTATTCATTTTATTGCTAAAATAGCAGATTTTATAGCCCATCAACTTGTTTTTGTTTGCTGACAGAGAAACATAGCAATCTTGCAGTAAGAAATATTTGGATTTTTATGAAGGCTTCATGCAGCAGAGGTAGAGTCCCACTCACTGCACCTGCAGCTTGCAGAATGCAGATGGGCTTTCAACGAGATGCAAAAAGATGCTGAAAAAGCCTGCAGACTGCAAGAGCAATTAAATGAACTTCAGCGTGTAAGTACATTTGACTTGGAGACTCTCTTGCTTAAAAGATATTCTCTTTCTACACATTTTTTGATTTGTTTTATTTTGGAAAACAAGCATAAAATTGATTTACTTTCAATAGAATTTTCCAGAAAACTTGTCCAGTAAATGTCATTAAACTAGAAGACAGATGTATTTAGAAATACCCTTTTTCCACTGGAGTTTCCTTTTGATTTGTAGAAGGAGGTATCCTGTATAAATGACAGTTTGGTCTTCAGCAATGCAGGTTCTCCCATTTGTTGGAAATGTTGATGTGATTTATGTATCCTAAAAGAAGATTTCACTTCCACAGAGTAAAGTCAGCTGGAATGAACGTATTCAATAAAAGTACGTTCATGAGAAGTTCATGAAATATAAATGTAGCAGTTTTAACTCCAAATGGATGTTGATGAAAAACATAATAATGGATGTTGTTATAATAAAAACAATACAAATTTTCCTGGGTCTGTTTCCCTAAGAAGTTACTTTATGGCAGGGGGAGAAAAAGCCTTCTCCGACATTGTCAGTAGCACAAATGCCCAAAATTCCCCTGAGTCTTTTGATGTTGCTGATTGACTTACCGAGACACTGTGGGTTCCCTAACGTGAAGCCTAGTTGGTAGAACCTGTCAGGGTGTCCCAATCCAAACACTTCCAAGCAGAGAATATCTGCTAGATGATGTCTCACCCATTGTCCTTCCTGTTCCTAGCTAGTGAAATGGATTTTTTTTTTAACTCAAAAATCTCTAATCATCTTCAGTTTTGTTCTTAACAGGTTTTATTCCCTTAGTGTTTTGGGACAGTTGGATGAAACTTGTCGCATTTTAGATTGTAGTTGAAATGTAGATGACGACTTTCCTTGAAGAATTATTTCCTCAATCTGGAACAGTTTTTGGAGGAGAAGAACAGTCCACAAAGGTGTTTACAAGGATTCATAAGCTATCCACTAAGTTTTTGAACATTGATCTGCGTATTTTTCCTTCTAAATATTGAAGTTTTGCATCCTAGGGTGCTACTTTGACAAGAATAATGAATGCCAAAACTTTACATGAATGTTCTTTATAAAAAACACAGTAATTAACTGGTCTGCCATTTTACTGTTCAGTGATCTGTCTTCATGTTAAAAAAACCTCAATACTAATCCTAAGCATGCAATTGTTTTGGAATTTGGTAGGTTTGCAAGTGGAACTCACTTAGTGGTAGGGAAAGCACTGAATATAATTACAGAATCAGGCACAACTTCTTTCTCTTTCCAGAGAATCAACCAAGACAATGTACAGGGGGAGTTAGATAATGCTTTGCAGCGTGAGCATGAGGCACAATTGCTTTTACAAGAACACCAGCGACGGATTCAGGAGCTGAGTAATACACTGGAATTGCACTCATGTACCAACAAAGATAGAAGCCAGGTCTCCAATGTACCTCTGATGGTAGTGTTATTCTTCTGGAACAGTCACCAGAGTTTCACCTTCTGTTAAACAAGCCAAATAGTGCAGTCCTTGTATAAATGAAATAAGAGGAGTAAATACACACACTACTCAGTCTGCTGAGAATTTTAGGCTATTGAGAAAACACTTCAAAGACTCCATTTTTTTCCTTAAGCTATGGATGTTTTATTTTTAACAATTAAGGAAAAAGTCTTCAGTGGGGGTTTGATTTGGGCTTTTTACCTACAATCATTTTGTTTTCTAAAACTTATTTATATGTAGCAAATATACTAAAAACTGGGGGGGGGGGGGGCGGGGGGGGGGATGGTTCTGAGTCATTAATGCTTTTGCTAGGAAATTCATAAAACCGTAGGATGCAGTGGTCCAAATGTACTTCACAATCAGTTTGTCTTCCATGTTGGTCAGTAGCCAGTGGCATAAAGTGAAGTTTCTTTGGGTGACAGAGTAACTCTGCTCTCTGCTGGCAGAGCCTCTCTAATGCAACAGAAGAGCTGAGGAGAAGAGACCAAGTTCTGGATCACCAGAATAGACTCCTGAAAGACACAGAGCAGGACCAGCAGCAGCTGCAGGAGACTCTCCAGGAGGCAGAACGTGCCATCCAACAGGGAGCAATGTGAGCCCTGGGGCCTGGGGGATGTCACTTAAAATGTATAAAAATTTAAATTCCTACTTCCATGGGCAGGTTTTAGCCCTGGAAAGTGTAAGGTTAGAAGAGAAAAGTACATCTGTCTCCTTTTCTTTTGAAATTCAGACATAGTCTTCTAAAAACAAAAGTGTTAGTTCAAAATATGAGGTCATACATTTTATGCAGTTATCCCATAATAGTGCTCCAAATTCTGGGTGCTGAAATATCTGGCAAACAAAAGACCTGTGTGATCTTACTGATCTGACAAGATCTCTTTGGCACATCCTTAAAGTTCTGTTTATTTAAGAAATGATTGATTGTTCTCTATGTTTCCACGCCAACTTTTTATAGGCAGATACAATTTATTTATAGTAAATACAGAAGCATCAGCTAGGGGACAGGTCTTCACTGCCAAAGGGACTGAAACCCATTTTGGATCTCACCTTTCCTGTGGTACAAGACAGATCTTCCAGCTGATTTCAGGGAGTTTTGGATTTAGACCTAATCCCCACACCACTTGCACCATAACCTGGAGTGGCAGGAAAGGCTCAGGCACTGGTTTTGAAAAGACTGGTGGTCAAAAGGAGCCCCCATGACTTGAAGGAGCTTATTACTAACCTATTCTTACGCCATATGGTGAGATTAAAATAAAACAACAACTTTGCAGACTTTGTTTCTAATACTTAGCATAGCATGAAGCATGTATTACAAATATTGTTTCATGGCTAGGATCTAAAAAAATTTTAGTAATACATGGGTTCATTTGACCTCTGAATACAAACATCTGAGAAGCTGTAAGGGCTGTATGCACGAGGGAAATAATGCAATTTGTATAATCCTCAATGAAATGTTTAACAAGCTAATTAAAATGACAAATGTTATTTGGTAGGATTTGATCAAAGCAGCTGTCACCTGCAGAAGGATTTGTTCTAGAACGCTTGCCCTTTCCATTGTAATCACCCCAATCTATTTTGGACATTCTTCTTTGTGGCCACACATATATCCAGAAAAGATTATTTTCATGTGAAGAGACTTTAAAAATGGCATTTTTTTTCTGTATATAGCAACTGAAAATCAACAAAGACAACTTTCCCTTCATTGTTCTAGCAGCTCTTCACAACAAATAGGGTTTTTTTCTCCCTTTGGAGCATATAAGCAAAGCAGATGAAATAAACAGAATCTGTCAGTGTTTTCCAATACAAGAATATAATATCATCCTGCTAGAGACTTTTAATGACCTCTGTATCCAAGCCATGATAGTTGTTCATTGATAAGCATATAATTACATCAGTTTTAATTGCTTATCCTCAACAGAAGCATCTTTCATTTGGAAATGCACCAAATGCACCAATATGAACTATTTTTAGGATTTGCATTGGAGTTTATCAACAATTTATCAACAATTTAAACAGTTTATCAACAATTATTTTACAAGACATCAAAACCATAAAGTAGCTGAAGAATAATTTGTACATTGGAAGAGCTTCAGTTCTATAAAGTTACTCCATTGTTGTTTTGTTTTGTTTTGTTTTTCTTTTATAATAGAGACGAAGAGTTGATCATTAATCATATAAAAGCTGCGGAGGCCGCCCTGAATGAGGTATGAATTTGAAGTGCTCCCTCTGATTTCTGTTCCAAACATGCCAAACTCTTAGAACTGTTTATTCTCAGGGGAGGAGAAAAGTTGTTGCAAAGCAACTTCCTTTCCTTAGAGTTGAAGTTTCCTCCCTCAACTTCTACCATCTTAAAAAACTATAGTGGAATAAAATGCAAGTTTGCAGTATACACACAACTTGTTCTAAATGTAGAAGTTATGACAAAATTCACTTTCCTTCCCTCACTGAGCACTACTTCTGGTTGCCAAGACTAATGCAACATATAAAAAATTAGCAATTGTGGTGGTTAACCCTCTACTGAATAATGAGAGATCACATACTTGGTGGCCATAAAACATTTGGCTTTGTGTCTGCTACTTTAACCTCTGAAAATTATTAATAGGAAAAGAAAATGCAGGAAGTCATAATCTGTGGTCAGAAACTTCCATGGTATTTTT